AGAGACTTTTAGTCGCGCATGAGACCGTGTTACTCCCGCCTAGGGCCAATTTCCACGAGAGGGGAATGGCCTAGTGTTGTATGCTGAAGAAGAACATGATCTGGGTGCTTCAAAAATGACATATAACACGAGGACTTCTGTTAGCGTGTGCTTGGAAACTTTCTTAAAGCCTTTTCAAGGTGTTAGATGCTTTATTTGCGGAAAAAAACTTATTTCAACTTATCTGCAACTAAAGTATGCTCTTACCACTACTAGCCGACAATCTAGCCACGTACGCCAGTCATAAAATTCACCAGGTTAATGGACCATATACCATACAAGTGCCCATTTTGAACGAAATTGCGGTACGTTTTTTTCGTATATTCCTCGTTTTCCAAGATCAACTTAAAACAGGAATGATGCATATTTATCTAACAGTTTACCTCTCCAATAGGAACTTCACTTTAACGTTGATGGGGACAAATACATCGCCTTCCACGGCACATGTTACCTGGTTGGCTCAATATTTTTCGCATTTTCATGCCCTGTAGAATGTTGTAAGTTTTATGATTGTAATTTGGCAAGCGGCCTTCCAGTAAAAATTAAATAAATCTTACGCGTTTTTTTTTATCAATTTTATCGTTCTATTGAATCAGTATACAATGATCAAAATGATATTTTTTAAAAGCAGTCCTGCCAAAAATATAAATATTGCCGTTCGTTTCACAGCAACGCGGGGATGTCTGCTCTATATAAACCTTCCAGAAGTTTCCTTTTTGAGACAGCTGACAGTTACGATAAACGAAACGCACTATAGTGTATATAATCATCGTAAGTCCATTTCAACTTTTATCCCTGTAATGAAAAAGCATGTGCTATTTGTTCAGTCAATATTTTAATGTCCTACATGCAGGCAATTGGCGTTTTGACAATAATTAAGTCGCAAGTCGTTGTATTGAGAACGTATCTGGCATATCTCTGTCATAAAACTGCCTGCTGCAATGATGGCGCTGCACTGCCTCTAATTTGAGGCCAACTGTCCCCTATAATTTTCCCCATATCGCACGGACAACGGCTAGGGACTCAGATATTAAAAGGAAGCTAGAACTAGTCTTCGCCTCTGATGCTCGTTAGTATTTATGAAAGACAAATGGATGCTGACTTTGTGCTTCATTGCTGCTGGAACGTGGTCCGCCAAACACAGGGGAAATAACTTTACGGAATTACAGAACAGTTACAGAGTTCGAATCTAGCCAAAAGTAAAGCTGTGTAAGCTCCGCCTGATTTAATCCATTGAAAGTTGGATACATATCATTCGTGTTGACCATAGTCGATGTTCTAACCTGCTTTCTAAACAGAACCCGACATGTGTGGCCAGCGACGACCAGTGTTTACTCAAGAAACAGGTCCATTTATCTTTACTACCGCCCTTCCGGGTGCACCATGGGTAAGCCAAAAACATGCAAGAAGGTTTACTACCAATGAGGGCATTCCGATTTGTTATAAATTATTGCTTTTTCTTTCTTAAGTATGTCATCTTGAATCACAAGACATATACGGTTGATACGGAGAAAGGAATTTGCAACGCGAACTACTCAAATGAGACCTTTAAGTGCAACGTCGAGAGATGTAAGCCAACATTGTGCATTTGCCGTTATGAGTTGCGCATTATATTGGACAATATAACAGTTTCCTGCGCAGAAGTATATAAACATTTAAATGTCAAAAATTGTCTGCTGAGGCTTATAATACTGTTCTGTCAAAGAAATAATTAACAATATCATATTCTTCTTAAAATAATAGCTACCTATCTGTTCCACCAATAAACCTTTTAGCTCATGTGTACCGTAGGATAAATGTTTAAAATGGATGTTTCCTGATGTTGGCACTTACGAATGTTAGTTTCTTTGATATACTGGGAATGTTATGCTTTTTGGGATTTCAGATCCAGAGTTCTCGCGAATTACTATTTTCATTGCGGAAATCAAGTCTATTAGCAGGATTTTAATTGGGGCTCGATCTTCCGATGAACCGGATAGGTTTTACTGGATCTCAGTCGAATTCACTTTGCTCGCTTCATCAGAAACTCGTACGTTATTAGCGCTTATGTACTAACACATATGATTGAAGACTTCAATTATCCAGAGTAAGCGAGTTATCATGTTTCATTGAAATTCACACTGCAGGGACTTTTATCTTCGAAAATGAAGAGACATCAAGTAGTTGTACCGCTGAGGGAAACTCGGAGGTTTCTTGGTATGTCAAAAATCTGTCTTCGGGAATAGATGCTGCCCATGTAAGTCCATCTGACAATCAGC